CTCTCTCTCTCTCTCTCTCACACACACACACACACACACACACACACACACACACACACACACACACATACTTACAATCGCACGCACCCACTCATTCTTTCGGTTCCCAATTCACAAATACACACACAGTCACAATTCATCACTTCATATTCATTTCGTACTTTAACTTTGAGGAAAGCAGAAGTTCGTAACAGCACAGCTCTTATATTGCCATGTAATAACCCAGAGGGTCAGAAAAATGAAAGGCTTACGTCAATTTGAAATCGTTTCGAGAAAAATGTCCCCAAAAAAACCCAGAGGGACTAAGAATGATATTATACAACAGGTACTGCGTTTGGGTAATTATTGTAAAGGATAAAACTGGTCGCACTTTTAAACACAAGGGGGCTATCCCGAATAATGCTGTTTTGAGGAAACCGATGGTAAAGTTTTTGCCCCTTGTTCTGTTTCTTTGAAAGACAAGGAGTTTTCTATAAAACCAAACAAATATACACACCAATGAAACCAAATTTCTCCTACAGGTAGGGCAATGTCCACTTTTGGTGTATGTCCAGATTTCTGGAAACCCCCGAAATCTGGGTTAGCCCACTTGTCCTTAAAAGCGACCAACTCTGTTTTTTAAGTCAAACAATTGTTTCATTCAAATTTGCTGTGGTGCAGACTGAGAACTCTATGTTTTAAATTATATTATAATTTGACTTAGAGCCTCTATTTTTCTGATCTCTTCAGTTGTCACTCAGCTGCACACTACGAGAAAAAAAAAGTGTCACAATGCAGTGGAATCAGGCGCTCGTCAGTTTTTGGGCATATGGAGTTATTAGTATCATCTTAAAGCCTGTTCATTTTTCTATCTTTTGATGAAAAAAAATACCAATCTATCTTGAATAGAAGTCGAAATATTTGCAATTGAAGGTGGAAGGGGTCACTGGGTTCAGAGGTAAAATTAACGAGAAAATGGCTTCCAAAGTTTGGTGACTTCCACAGCTTCAAAGTCCTTGAAAACTGAAAATTCACATTTTTTTGTCCCTTTAATCAACGTTTTTCAGTGAAATCCAGACAGAAGTGTGATTTTATGTGGACATATAAATTTAATAAAAATTTCCAAACTGGCGGAAAAATTCCTGTTTCTTCTATGTCTGTATTTTGACGAGCACCTGAATTCACCACGCTGCCTCACAAACACTGCAGAAAACGAACTACATTGTGTAATTGTACATTCATCATAGAAAAACGACGCCGAGGTTTAGATCCAAACGAAGAGCCAAGTGAAATACATGCTCTGTCACATTAAACCTTCTACAATTCAGCCAAAGTTTCACATTTTCAAAGATAAGCTTGCCTGTTTTCTTAATTAACTTGGCTGCATCTTAATTTTTTTGTTGTTACTTCACAGATTTCGTGTGGATATTCTAGATCTACAGGTGCTGTTGTGAGCCAGGAGCTGATACTCGATTTTGTTTGGTGTGTGGATTTATCCTGTTTTTCACTTGACACCTTCAAATGTTTTCAGCCAAGCAAAGGGTTGTGGCACCTTCAGCAAAAAAGAATAATACATTTTAAAATGATACGAGTATTTCGTCACACACCCATCATCGATAATTAACTGTTCTTTTGTGTGATACATGACGTCACTGAAAAAAAAAGCAGCAAAACAATTAAATAGCGCTCATATGACTTTATGCAGTTGGGAGCGTCGTAAAACCTCTACTAAAACAAAAACAAAAAACACAAATAAATACAATTTTTCCACCTCATAGACAGGTGAGCAACGAACACTTTCGAGGCCAAGGAAAAAAATATTGTTGATCTTTGTGTCCTGCAGGATGATCTTGGTGTAAAACAGTAAAGTAAAAAAGGAAAGTTGTTCCCTCATCCGACAGGGACATTGGGGATTGCTTTGTTAGTGAGACAACTTCCTGGGCCTTCGGCATATTGTGGTAGGGTGGCCAGTTCCTTTCCACGCCGCCTTTACTTCCCCAACTCGAAGTCAGGTACCCATTACTGCTGGGTGGGCAGGAGGGGGCGAAAAAAATTCGGGTTCGTACTGTAAAACAGTAAGCATGATATTATTATT